CCCTGATACTCCGTCGATGCAACGAACCAGCCAGCGCATCCTTCTCCATGCCTTCCCTGCAACTCGGTCTCGGGGCAAAGGTGACAGCACAGTACAGAAACTGGTGCGTTTGTACTGGTCTTTTCTTCCAGGGGGGAATGGGACTCGCACAAAGCACCTGCCAGTGGCATAGGGCCTTGCCCCACGTCGCCGAACAGCGAGCGGTCTTCATCGCTCCACACTGCAGCTGTGCTGTTAGCCGCAAAGCTCAGGGATCTTTACCTGTAAAAGCTTTTCAAGGAAACTATCCCAGCTACGTGTCTAACTGGCTTATCTCCAAATAAGAGGCGGGCGGGGGGGGGTGTTTGGTCATATCTTTCTGCCCGGAAGCCTGTCTTAACATCTCTCCCAGCAAGTCGGGTGGTCCAACAGCTGTTAACCCCAAAGCCCTTCGCTTTTTGTAGTTGTCAAATACATTTCACTCCCTTCCCACTCAGTCTGCTGATAATGAAGAGGCAGGGAAGCACAGCCAGTGCGAGGGACATCCCTGAGCTGATTTCAGGCAAGCTGGCACAGCTTCTGTTCCCCGGGAGCTGGCATGGAGCTGAGCCGGGGGAGTTCGTCGCAAGTACCTGAGCCGGATAGCCTGAAGCCAGCTCTAAGCGTCGCCGTGGCTGCACCCCAGCACCGTGGGAACTATTGCTCCTTTGAATCGGAAATACCTTCACTCCTCCAAGGAGATCATAGGAAAGTCAGGCTGGAAGGGACTCAAGAGGTCACGTCTCGTCCAGCCCCCTGCTCCAGGCAGGATCATCCCTGACCCATCTCTGTCCAACCTCCTCTTTATCCCAGCTACGTAGTTGGTCCAATAAAAGATACCGCCTTAAGAAATCCTTACCTCTTGCATAATTTCTGGACCATCATGGCTATAACGTCACTCTTACACTACCCGCTGTACAGAGCTGAGTTGTGGGTAAGGTACAGGAGACACCTCAAATCGCTGGAGATGTAGCATCAGCGCTGCCTGTGGAAGATCCTTCAAATCCAGTGGGAGGACGGATGCACCAAAGCTAGTGTCCTCTAGCAAACCCCACGAGCATCGAGGCGATAATCACCCAACATCAGCTTCGCTGGGCTGGCCACGTCATCCGGACGTCCGACTCCAGTCCTCCAGCTCAGTCAGGTGCACGCTCAAGAGAAGGGCAAAGAAAGCGATTCAAAGACATCCTCAAGGCTTGAAAAAAATGCAGCATTGACATCAACTCGTGGGAGACACGATCACCCAGGAACACCCCAAATGGAGGCAGGTCTGCTGCAGGGATCTCAGGACTTTGAAACCTTGCGATGACAACAGGAGACAGAAAAGTGGGAGCAGCAGAAACGGCACGTTATGAACCGAACTAAGAACCCGGAGCCAACCTCCCTGCATGGAAACGCGTGCCTGAGCTGCAGCAGGGTCTGTCGATCCCGGACCGGCCTCATCAGCCACCTTCAGACCCACAAATCATCCTCCGCGGCAAGGGATTGCTGAAGATGACACTACCACAACATGCTCTTGAAAGTCTCCAGGTATGGACGACTCTGGGCAGCCTGTTTCAATATCCGACCACTCTTAGAGTCAAAAACTTCCTCCTCTCCAGCCTAATTTCCCCTGCTGAAGCTTGAGGCCATTGCTCCTAGCCCTGTCCCCCGCAACCAGAGATGAAGCCCATCTCTATCCTTTCTGTAATCACCCTTCAGCAATTTGATAGCAGCCTTTAATTCCCTGAAGAGGGGTTGCAAAGAGGATGCAGCTGGGCTGTTCTCAGTGACGGCAGGCGACAGAAGGAGCAATGGGCTCAAGTTTTACAGCAAGGGAAGTTGACGTTGGATAGTAGGGAAAACTTTCTCACTAGCAGGGTGGTCACCTAGAGAGGTGGTGCAGTCTCCATCCTCGGAGGTTTCTAAGGCCGGGTTTGAAAAAGCCCTGGCTGGAGTGATGTAGTTGAGCTGGTCCTGCTTGGAGCAGGGTGTTGGACTTGACGTGATCTCCTTTCCCACGATTTTATGATTTGAAGGGTGGTTCTCCCGTGCTGCTGGTGCCGCGGCGGCCCCTGGTCTTTTGCATAAAGCCTTTGAGCGATGTTGCTGGTGGCCAAGCTCGGCCCAAGCCTGGGCCGCAGCAGCAAGGAGCTCTCAGCACCTTCTAGCAACCAGGTGCTCCCCGAACAGCACGTGGGCTGGGGCCCAGGCAGGACCGGCATCTGCTGTGAGGCCAGGCGAGGCAGGCAGGTGCACATGGTAAGCGTGCAAGTCTCACCCCAGACAGGTAGTGGCTGCCCCCCTCCGCTGACCGTGGCTGCTGGGCTGGGGCGTTGCAGTGTGCCCTTGGGTGCTGCTGCAGGCCGTGGGAAGCTGCTGTGCTTTCCTGTAAGGCTGTGCAGCACGGATGCACCAACTTCTGCAGCAGGACAAGTGTCCGTGGCCGACTCGCCCCAAGGAGAAGGGGACTGGAGAGGGCTAAAGGCAGGAGCCCGTCCCCGTGCTAATCCGTCTCCAAGCCTTGGAGCAAATGCATCCCACCTCCACCCCTGAATGCACACACCTGCTCTCAGCTCATCCATGGGGCCTGGGGCCTGAAAGCCCGTGTTACCCTCACCCCCACATCACATGCAGGCCTGGCAATGTCTGCTCCACGTATCAGGGGCTTTTTAAACCTCTCCAAAGTGCTGGGTGGGGATGAGGACTGGGCTGTCTCATGCCAACCCCGCGGGGTCCTGGCTGGAGGGTCTTGCTCCTCTGCTCAGCCTCAGACTAATTGCAATAGTTAGGGTCAGAAAGGATTTTTACCCCCAGGTCAGACTGGTAGACCGAGGGAGTTTTGCATTCGTTTGTAGCAAGGGCACGGTCTACCTGAGATCTCTTGAGCATGTATTAACCTTTTATAAAAGCAGGACGGCGGCCATCGCGGTCCCCCTGCTTCCCCTGGGGCAGGGCTGCGTGCAACGCCCGCTGCTACGGCAGGGTTGACGATAATTTAACGAAGCTTTTCGATGACGGCTCGTTGGGACAGGGCTGATCCTGCCCCAGGGAGACGACCTCCCAGCCCTACCGCTCTACCGCGCTATGCCGATCCCTAGCCCCAAAGCAACCCAGAGCCCCAGCCTGGGCGTTTTGGGGAGCCACCCGCGGACACAGAGCTCGACCTCCCCGCCGCTCGACTCCAAAAAGTTTTATTCCGTAACAATGCGTCGTCTTAAAAATGTACAGCGTGTCGGGAAAGGGCGTCCAAGTCGGAGAGAAACCAGAGGCGGGGAGGACAGGGAAACGGCCCGCGGATACAGACGTCGTGTGAGCGATGGAGCCGGCTCTCCCTGCTCCCGCGGGGATCTTGCACAAACACGGGAGCACGCTGCAATCGCCGCCGGGCGGCGAGATGGACGCAGGTCCCTGCAAGACCCCAGGGCAGCCCCGGCTCAGGGGGAAGCTTGCAAGGGGCGAGCGCTGGTTTAAGGGGCGAGCGATGCTCCGTTGGATTGCAGAAGAGATGCAGCGGAGAGCGGGCAACGGGGCAGAGCCCAATCGAACCGTCTCCGCCCCGACCCTAAGAGCGGGCGCCTTGTCTCTTGGCCTCTCCGCGGTGCTGATGGGCGACGGGCAAACACCTCTTCTTTCACGCAGGCTGCACGCCGAGAAGCCATGGCCAGCTCCGGTGAGAAGGGACGCCAGCCAGAACAAGATGGCGGAGCCTGGCCCCTGACAAGATGGCGGAGCCTGGCCAGAACAAGATGGCGGAGCCGGCCCCTGACAAGATGATGAAGCATGACCCCCGACAAGATGGCAGAACCAGGCCAAAACAAGATGGCGGACCCTGCCCCGCCCAGACTAGACAGCAGAGCTCGGCCAGGACAAGATGACGGATCCCACCCTGGACTAGATGGTGAAGCGCGGCCTCTGAGAAGATGGCAGGGCCTGGCCAAAACAAGATGGCAGAGCTCGACCCTTGACAAGATGGCGGCACCCACCCCCGACAAGATGGCGGAGCCTGCCCCCCGACTAGCTCTTCCCTCCCCCGTGCTGCTGAGGGCTCCCTATACCCTGTCCCACGACTTCTGCCAAGTCAAAGCGGGACTTTGGCCATCCACCCCATGCAGACAGCATGGAGGACGGGCATCGATTCCTGCCTGACAGCCATTGGGCACCATCTTCTCCGAGAGGCGGAAGGCAGCCGGCTCCGACAAGGGCAGGGCGCCGGCTGGAGACCCCGGTGGGTTTCCTCCCCAGCCTTGTTGGGGAAAACAAGGACGGTGGCTTCTTCAAGCCGCCCCAACAGGTTGTCTTTGAGGGCCCGTGCCGGACCATGGGGCCCCGAATGGCCCCCGGGACACGAGGAGAATTGACCTTTGTTGCTGGACGTGGATTTTAAGGAGGATAATTTTGCCTTCTCTCCATACAAAGCAGGAGCCGGGGGGGCCCGGGGACAGGTCTCAGCCGCCTGTCGGCCATGTAAGAGCCCGAGGCCCGAAGACGAGGAGTATGGATGTTGGAGAAGACATTTCCCTGGTGAAGGAGGAAGAAGGGGGCGGCTTGGTTTCTTGCACATCTGGGCTCCTTCGCTTGAGAGCATGCACCGAGGCCGAGAGCAGCCGGGCTCCCCTCTCTAGCAGCCGCAAGGGGCTCGGAGTAGCGTCCGCGCGACCGGAGCTGGAAAACCCCGCAGGGTAGAAGGAAGCTGAGTGGAAGCCGTCTCTCCCACGGCACCTTCCCGCGACCCCGACTAAGCAGACCCGCCGGCCCCGATCCGCCTCGAGGGGAGCCCCGAAACGCCGTCACTCCCCAGACGGCCTCCACATTAGCTGGTCTGAAGCGTGTGCCCAAACGACCCCTGGCTGCAGCAGGGGTGGTGATGGCCCGGCCCCCGGCCCTAGCAAGCAAACTGCCGAGAAAACGATAGAGGAAGGAAAAAAAATAACGATTAAAAAAAAAAAAAAAAAGGGACTCGAGAAGCTTCTAGAGCAAGGCTTCCCTGCGTCGCAGCGCCGCCGCGCAGGGCCGGGTTCAAGTCGCCCGGAGATGCTCTCCCAGCTCCCGTGTGCGGCAGCCCCCGCCCCCTCCCACCCCAAAGCCAGGGCCGCAGTCCTTCCAAAGGTTGCCTCGAGGGTCAGTACTTCACTCCGGGCACAAACTCCTTGGCATCGGGGTTTAAGTTGCTTTTGCTCTGTTAGGAAGAGGGAGAAAGGCATCAGATAAAAATGGGGCTGGAAGGGCAGGGCGATCCCTGTCTGAATCCTCCCAGCTAGGCGCTCGTCTCGCCTGCACTATAGCTTCCAAGTGTGGAGATCCCACAGCCTCCCTAGGTACCAGTCCCCATGCCGATCCCCCTCCCAGCGAGAAGACCTTGCTACACTGCACCCTAAATCTCCCGTCTTCCAATTTCAGCCTGGTGCTATTGATCCCGTCCCCTGCGGACACAGAGAAGGGTTGATCTCCATTCTCTTCAGCGCATCCCTTTTATATTTGAAGCCCCTTCAGCCTTTTCTTCTCCAGACTAAATAACTCCTGTCCTGGCTACTCAAGACTTCACATTATGGGAGCTGGCTCAGGGCGTCCTTCCTTGCAGGTATATTAACACCTGAGCCCCTTCCACACAAGACCTACCCATCCTCTCTGCTGGCAACGCTCCTACCAGTGCAGCCCAGGATGCCGTTGGCCTTCTTGACACAAGGGCACACTGCTGGCTCCTGTTCAGCTGCTTGTCCCCCGTCACCCCCAGGTCCTTTTCTGCAGAGCTGCTGCTTAACCAGTCGGTCCCCACCCTGTACAACAATCTTTTCTTGCTGAAGGGAAAATTGGGACTCTCAGACTCTCCCAGGGCTGCCCTCTCTCTTCTTTACGGGGCCTTTCAACTAGCTGAGAGCTGCTGTTACATTCGCCTGAATCTGTTCTGCAAGCTCCGTGCACCCAGTTCTCTCCACCTCATACACCCCTGGGTCCTCCCAACTCCTCCATCGCCTTTGTCACTCGCTTCTGAATCCTTTTGCTTCTCTGCATCCTTCAATGTAGAGCCAAGACCTACACGCAACCATCCAGCTGAGGTCTAACCAGGGCTGAGTGATAGAGCGATACCATCCCCTCACCCTTGCATACAATACAACCCCTGCACCAGAGGTGCCCTGTACTTCTGTGCTCCCCAGCCCAAGGGATTGCAGACAAGCGTGCAGCCCTCTGCCACAGCCTTACCAGAATGTCCTCTGAGCTGTGACTGTCGCTAACCGAGAGCCCGTTCAACTGCTGCTGCAGCTGCCCGATGCCTTGAGGCAGGTCGCGCGATGGAATGAACCAGTCCTGGTCCTCTTCGTCCAGCATCTCCTGGAAGCAGCGGTCGAGGAACTCCTGCTCCTGCAGCTCCTCTTCCACCTGGCCGAGAGGGGCAAAAATCCCATCAGGAGATAAACTCAACAAGCCGCTGGCCTGAGCATCTGCTGTACGCCTCCCAAGACCCACTCGTGAGAGGCACAGACCGCCACCTGCAATTCTGCCTTTGGACAGAGACCGGGACCACCTCAAGGCATGCTTTAACTAGGCCAGAATCATGCTTTGACCCCAGGCTAAGATCTGGCCTTGGAGCAGATTGCAGAGTTGGAAAAGGAACCCTAGCTTGCAAGTGGCTTAACACAGCCAAGTGCAAGGCTGGACTGGCCACCCCGGTGCAGCTCCTGGATGAGTCTAGGGGCGCCTGACTCTAGCTGACCTCTTGCAGCACGGGTAGGACTGGGTGTGAAATCATAACCAGGGGGAAACCAGTGCTGGAGGAGGTACCGCAGCCTGGAAGCCAAACAGCAAGAAACCGGGCGCTGGGAAGGGAATGGGGTCTCATCGGTGCTCTCTGGCTGGTTTCCTCCCTGCGCCAGAGCACTGCCCTGTGAGAGGGACTCCTGGCTCCCAGCTCAGCCACCGACCCTCTGGGTCTCCTTCAGCCACAAGTTTCAAGCCTCAGTTTCCAAATCACTGGCTTCCCCCGCTCCTCCTGCAGAAGCAATGCTGATCACCAGTGGTGGAGATCAGGTCCCCCGCTTCTGCTCCTGTGCAGGAAGCCACGCAGCCATGGACTGCAGGAGTCTTGCAGCTCTGGGAAGGAAAAAACCTGTTCGGCCATGACTGCACCAGCTGCTTCCCATGGGTGCATCCCAAGGAAGAGGCGCCTTTGTCAGCTTTCTTCGAGGGACGGCTTCCAAGGCACAGGAAATGCTCAACTTCTCCGGAGTCTCACCGTGGATCTCTGCGACCAGATCTGGGGACTGCTCATTAGGAGCTTGTTGATGGAGACCTTCAGGCTTCTGAATGTTAAGCATCAGCCCCATTTTCTTAAATGACTTGGTAAAGACAATTGCCTGAAGGTCTGCTTCCCAGCGAGCATGCACTACAGCATCGTCGGGCTGACTGCTATTGCCTCTCCTGACACATGAGGGCAGCCCGCTCCCATTTCACATAGGCAGAGGAAAGCCGGCCTGCCTGGATATGCCAGCCCATATCTGGAGGATGGAGCAGAGCCGCCCCGCCATATGGGGAGGAAGAATTTTAACTTGGAGAGGATGGGATTTTCAGTGCAACTGCATAGATGAGGCAGGCCAGGGATATATGCATCGTTAAAGAGCTGGCAGGCCTCTAATGAGCTCACAGGCCTCGACCCACCAGGCTGAAGGGCATTCAGGCTCCTGCTGCATTGCTCACCGTGTCCTCTCCCTAGGGACTAAGCACCGATGCTGCGTGTAGACGTAGCCCGTGGAACAGCCAGAGAGGAAAGGGTTTCCAGACACTGTTGGATCAAACTGGATTGAAATGGGTGGCTGGGAGGAGAAAGGCTTTTCACCCACTACCAACACCTGGCACAGCCCGTGCCCTTCACGGGGGGGGTCTCAATGGATGTGAGCAGCACCACATAGGATGCCTGAAAGTCTCTGGTCGAAGCATCTGTCCTGTGCTGAGATAGTTGCCCAGACCGCGGCAGCGGATGATGCGGGGGGGACCAGTCCCACCTGTGTCAGGTGGGCCGGGAGCAGGGAGATGCATCGCAGCAGGAGCAGGGGAAGGCCTGTCTGCAGTCATGCCAGTCAGACATCAATCAATCAAGTCCACCCCCCAAACAGCCAGCACCCTGCTCCAGCCACTGCCTTGACTCGGAGACCATCTTGTTCTTCCCTGAAATACAGAGTCTGCAATGCCACCAGCTCGGTAACCCTCCTTCCTTAGTCAATCCGAGCCTGCCCCCATTAGCCGGCCTTGCTGACAGGATGCCTCCTCCCAGCCACCCCCCGAGACCTGCGCCTCCACCCTGCCGATGCAGTCGTCATCTCCTGCTCCCCTGCTCCTGTATGCAGGGAACAGCTGCAGTCCCTGGGCCCCAGGCTCTGCCCTTCTCATCCAGATCCCTCTTCTCGTCTTGCAGCCTCGACGGAGCCAAAGAGTCTCGATACGGCCAACGCCTTCCCCGCCCTGCCACGGCGCACAACGCCCCCCTGCCCTAAATCCCTCAGGACGCCCAGCCTCACCCGCCTGCAAAGCTCCTGGGGCTGAGGTTGTATTTTGGGGCTGGTTCAGCACCTTCACTCTCTTCCCAGCTCCTAGCCCCAAGAAGCCCTGTTCTCGCGGGGAGAGTCCAGCGCCCTCCTACCCCAAAATTGCCTCCACCAGCCCAGAGACACCGTCTCTAGGGCAGCTCCGTTCACTCCCTTTATAAGCAGCCTTAGGTGGGATTTCCCACCTGGCAAAGGGCTTGGGGACCAGCCGAGAGGGGAGGATAAGAGCTCGTGCCCTGAACTGCTGGGACCGCGGAGGGCGGTAGGAACTCGTCATGTCAGAAGAGGCAGGAATGTGTTTCCCCGTGTGAATGCAAATGGGAGGCTCCGCCTGGACGCGTCTTTCAGAGCCCGGCCCAAGCCTGGAGCAAAAGGAAATGCAAAGGCAGAAGAAACCTCCCACAAGCTGGTGCTCTGCTCAGAGCCAATTTGGAGTCGGCTCTCCACACACAGTCGGCTCCGCCGCAAAATCCATCTCGGCACGAATCGATCCTGCAGGGCTTGGGAGAGCGATTCCCCAGCTTCTAACGCCTGTGCCAGCACTCACTGGCAATGAGGAGACCACGGCACGATGGCCTCCTAGTTCGATGTGATCTTGCAGCCCGACATGCCCGGCACTTGCTTCAAAGTGACTCACGAAGGTTCACCAAGCACCAGCCTGTCGGCGGCGAATGACTGCAGCGGTGCTTCCTCCGACTTGTCTGTCTGGGTCCACTGATACCAAGACTCTTGCACACTCACTTCAGGGCCTGTGCCCTGCTACCACGGTACCACGAGGGGAGCAGAGGTCCTCAACTGCCTCTCTCACCCCAATGAACCAGTGTCCTTGTCCCTGGGACTGTCACTCCGAGCTCAGCCCTTGTTTCTCCCGCTCTGGTCTGATACGGATCAGTGTCCCTGTGCCACATGAGTCTGCTCTGCCCTGCCAGGCCCCTGGGAAGATTCACTGAATCAAAGAATCACAGAAAATCCAGGTTGGAAGGGATTTCAGGAGGTCACCTCTAATCCAACCCCCTGCTCAAAGCAGGACCGGACCCAACTCCATCATCCCAGCCAAGGTTTTGCTGAGTCCTAAAAACCTCCAAGGATGGAGATGCCACCACCTCTCTGGGTAGCTTGGTCAAGTGCTTTACTACCCTCCTCAGGGGCAAGTTTCTCCTAATATCCAACCGTGCCTCCATTCAGGGCTTCCATCATATGGTGAGCCTGGCCCTGAAGCCCGACCTGCCAAAGAGGCAGGTGAAAGCATCGTGCCACCTCTCCTGCCACTCTGCCCTTAACGCACAGCGCGCCAGGAGCACAGCCCCATCGCTTGAGGAGATGGGATTGCTGGTGGCCACACCGGCGCACTCGGGATAGTGCATTTCTGATGGAGACACTGGAGTGAAGTAGCCGTGAGCAGCGCTGCATCTCCATCCAGGTCGCCAATGCTCCCGTCACCCCGCGCCCATTAACGCACAAATGGAGGCTTTAGGAAAGGAGCCCTTTGTGGAGCCATTCCAGCGTGGGAGGTTTAAGACGCCGGTCCAAGCTGATTCAGACACGGATGCTCCCACCTGCAGCAGGCAGTTGGATGAGAAAACCTCCAAGCTGGTTCCCAAGCAGAGGGTGGGTTGAGGGTGGATGGAAATGCACAGCCGGGTTCCCCCTCTCTGTGTTCCCCAGGTCACATCCAGTCCAACCCCATGAGCCTGGTCCAAACCAGCCCAGACAAACCCATCGCCTAACCTGTTCATGAAACTACAACACGTCGCACCTGACCATGCCATAGGTAAAGGAGGGACCACAGCGGCCAGCGGCCTGCTTTTGGAAATATATGCTCAATAGATCCTAAGGAGAGGCTGTGCCCCTGCTACAGAGGAAGGCAAAACCCCTTAAGCCCACACGAATCTGCCCAGGGGGGAAATTTCCTTTGTGACCCCAAATATGGTGACTAGCTTGACCCTGAGCGCAAGAGCAAGACCCTCTAGCCCAGACCCTGCGGGGTTGGTGCTGGCAGGAGCATTGGCACAGCCCAGCCCCCAGCCCCAGCCTGGGCTGCAGCCAGTACCTCTGGGGGAGGCTTAAAAATACTCCAACACCTACACATACTTCATGAGATAAACCCAGAGATTTCCAGTGGAAATGCGCACTGTCAAAACCATCAGACTTTGCTGCAGGTTTGCAGAGTTCTTTGCAACAGAAGTACGGCTCCATTCTTCTTCTGGCGTCAGGAAAACCGAGAGCTGGCGTTATCGGAGGGGGTCAAGGGGATCTGGAGTCTAACAAGGTTGAGAACCGCTGGTCTAGTCGGAGCCTGGAGAAGACCATTGCCCTGCCTGCCCCTGCTGCGTTTTTAAAAATGAATCAGGGGGGACAGACCAGCATTTTGCTAACATATTGTGCTCCTCTGCCGGGGCAGCTGTGTGGGGAGGCTGGCCCGGCATCGAGTCACATGCAATGAACACACACACTTGAGTCATAGCCCAGGCACGGCTGTGCACATAATTTGGCATGGCGAGTCTCGGGCTGCTTGGGAAGAATGGCTGCGAGCTGGAGGTCACTCCTATGGAACGAGCTTAAATGTTTCCATATGGAGATATTCTGCGGAGACCTTCGCATGATGGATCCCAGCCTCCGCTGGGGACTGGGGAAAGGAAGAACAGGCCTCCCTCCATCCCGTCCCATGTGAAACAACCCGTCCTTGCTGTCCCAGGCCCAGCCGGGGCTGCGGGAGATGGCTAATCCTGACGTGGGGCTCTGCTGCCAAGTGGCAGGCCTTTGCCGAGTCTCAGGGAGGAAGGTTTCAGGTTTCCTGCCCAGAGCAGACGCTTGCCCCGCCAATGGCAGGCGGAGGC